ATATATATGAATGGATTGTCCCAGTCTGCATAATAATGTCTTGTTTTTAAGCAAAGTAACCCATTTATTTCAATGTCCCAATAGGAAAAGACTTATGTACATTCTTACAAAAATGAAACTGTGTTTGTGAGATCTCTCAGGGATTACTTGTCCTTGTCAAAATGTTTATTTTATGGGACATTTTTCTAGAAGGAAGAAAGTGGGTAGGAAGAGGAAGGAAGGAAAGCAAGCCAGCTTGCAGTGGGGAAAGCTCCCTCTCCTTTGGGAAGCACAGCAGAAGTAGCAGACTTGGCCGTCAGAGAACAAAAGGCCAAACAGTGAACCTGAGACGGTGAAATAAAAAGTAACGTCAACAAAGAGAGGCCCATAGATAAATAGTAAAAGAACCAAGTTGCCACAAAACACCCATTGACATTTTCCCAGAGTCCAGGCAGAGTGCTGGTGACCCGTTAATGTTGGAATGTTTTCCTAGGGTTAAAAGGGGAGCATGCAGCATGTCTGTTCAGAATTTACAAAGTGTTTGAATAACACGGACCGTGTTTTGATAACACATTTTTAGTGGGGGTGAAAATAATAGAATTTATTGGGGCATTTATACGGGCCCCCTTAGTTGTGTGGGGGGTGGGGGGAGTGGATGAGCTCTAAACCATGTATCATTGCACTAACTCTTTGAAGTGTGTGTGTGTGTGTGTGTGTGTGTGTGTGTGTGTGTGTGTGTGTGATGCATGGCATTGCTGTGGTGTCAAGTCTTCTTGGTCTTACTTTTAAAAATCTCAAACATTATAATTGGTTACCTTTAAGGAGAAGAAAAAAGAAGAGGCCACAAGCCAAGTTGGTGTTATCACCAGGAGCTGGTGGTACAAAGTTGGTATTGTTTGGGACAAACTAGTATAAGCTCTTTCATATGCTCACACCCAGGCTTGGCCCTTGGCTTCCTTCAGCCTCTAGAGGTTCCTGCTTGCTCCATCCCAGGCTGCAGAATGAGGTATTTGAGTTAAGCAGCCACCACTGGGGTCTGGCATTGCCAGGGGTCTCCTCCCCAATGTTGATGTTTTTGTTCAACGTATTACTGTCACTTAAGCCACAGAAAACCAGGCACCTTTCAATAAATGTCTCATTTGGATTTCATGAAGCTCGGGGTGTAATTGAAATCAAACAGCAGAGAGGCGGGTTCTGCTATTTGCCCGCCCAGTTGGAGTAAGGTGCTGCCTGATGTGTGCCCGACACCCAGCATCACAGCCTTTGCCTTGTTTTCTCTGCTTCTTTCTAGAAAAGAGGACTTGGATTTTAAAGTGTGGCTGAGACACAAGAAAACATTGATTTTTTTTTTACCTCTCTCTACTCTTATGAGTATTATTGAGCCAGCAAAAAACAAAAGCCCACCCCAAATAGGAATCATAGATTTGTTCTCCACAGTGCTCCAGCACTTTAGAGCAATGTAGTCCATAAGTAATAATAATATTAAAACATAAGTTCATTAACACACCAATATTTACACTTTCTGTCTCAATGAAGCCAGAAAAAATATCTTTAGGCAAAATGATGCTTTTCACCATTTCAAAGGGGGAACTCATGACATGATTGTGAGACACGATAATATATAACAATAACAATGTTATTAATATTAGCAAGTTCCCCATGTCCCCAAATCCCGTGCCTCCCAAAGAGTTTCCTAGCGCTTTGATTTTGACTTTTGTTTGATTTCCCTTTATTTCTCCATCTGCAAAATGTGTGAGAAGTAAGATAAACAGAGTGTATCTGCTGAGGAGGGTGGGGCCCCAGGAATCCATTCGAACTCAAGTTACATACACAGATTGAATTTGCACGGAGTTCATAATTTGGTGGCACTCGGGATGAACCCACACGCCTTCTTGAGCTTGCTCTAGGGGTAGGATAGAATGAACCCGGTTCTGATGTGGTTGTAGGGACAGCTGGCCTGAGTTACTTGCGCCAGAGTGGGTCTGAACGGTGCCCGTTGCCTGTGGTGGCACTGTGCCACGCTAGCGTTTCCCTGGTCTCTTCAAAGCGGTTTTGAAGGGACCCCGAAGCCTGCTTCTGGCTGTGTTAAAGCGCAAATCTGACATATACCTTCAGTCACCCCGTCTGCAGATAACGTGAGATTCAGTCTCACACCTACTTTCCCCTCAGACATCCTGCAGCTCGGGTCAATGCTAACACAAACTCAGAAGGAGCATTCGATAACTCCGGGCTGAGTCGCCAGAGCGTTGAGGCCCGTTCCTGGAGCTCGCATCCCCCTTGTGGAATCTCCACGTTGAATATCTCGCACTCTTCGAAGGGAAAAAAAAAATTAGCTTCTAAGATTTTTCCGTGTCAAAACAAAACAGTAAAGTGACCCTTACAGGCTGCCATGCTGGAGCCGAACTGACACCAAATTCTGGGATCTCAGGGACTGAGCCAGCAGGGTGCCTGCTCCCGGGCTCTCTGAACCAAAATTGACAAGGCTATAGCTCCAACTCGCTAGCCTGTGACTTGGCGCTGAAAACCTGTGAGCGACCAAGATTCACAAGAGCATCGCATCAAAACCCCACACAGCATCCGAGCTGGTGAAGGGTCGCTCCACTCTCTAACCGGGGCGTGCGGATGTTCGTGCTGTGCGGGGTTTGTACCCACGTTGGAGAGCCTCGCGCGGTTCTACTGCTGGGATCTGGGCGCTGAGCAGATCCCGCGGCCACCTCATCTGTTCTAGGCAAAAAGTTTCCCGTGTGATCGCGTTCGGTTGGGGGAAGCAGAGTCACCGCATCTCGACCGGAAAATGCGCTCCTGGAGCGATTACTGCGGGCGTCCGTAATTGCTTTTTAAAGGAGAATGTTCGGGCTTCTTATCTGCAACGAAACGTGCCCCCCTTCTGTAATAATAAAACAATAAAATATGATGGCACAGTCCTTGACTGTTTGCAGAAACGCGGGGGTGGGGGGGGGGAACCACAGGCAGCTGGGCAAAGGAGCTTAATTCAATATCAAACTGATTATTTCACTAATTATTCTGCCTTCTGTATTGTGCCGCAGAGGAGAGGCGCAGGGAATCTTAACTGCACAGCTGCTAGGGAACCTTTGTGTCTTAGTGTCAGCCCCCCGCCAAAGACGTTGGCGAAAGCGGGGATTGGGGGAGGTAAAAAAAAAAAAAAACACCCAGAGTTCAGGAACACCGAGCAGAGTATGTTTTTTTAAATTGTAAGCAATGAAAGTGATGTCCTCCGGAAAGCCGGTCTGCTAGGGTGGATGTGAGGGTGAGCGCTTGGCTCGCTGGGTCTGGCTCTTCTTGGGTTTTCGGTAGCCCACTGCACTCGAGCTTCTGATTCAGACGCGGAAACCTTTCGGCATCCCTGGGATCCCAAACGCAGAGCGCGAGGCTTCTCCCCACCAACCCTTTAGGTAAAAAGATGGGACAGAACAAAAAAGCGGTTCCTGTGTGGGGAAGGCCAGGAAGTCAGAGGGAAGGTGTGCTTTGATGTTACAGCGTCTGACGCAGACGCTTTGGGTCTCTCTCCAACCCGCCCCCAGATTTGCACCCTCGGGGACCTGGGCCTTCCTGCGAGCAGGGAGCGTTCAGAGACCTCTGCTCTGGCCTCCAGGACCTACCTGCCTCTGCCAAACTAGCCCCGCGCGCAGGAATGACTCCTTGCCTAAGGCAGAGCAGGTTCGCAGACCTCAAACCCGTTTCTCCTGGACTCCAGCGCCATATAGACACCGGGACTGATTCTCACAGTGGGGTATAGGTCCCCTAAAGAATTTAAAGAGCACCAAACCAACAATAACAGCCAAACAGGCTGAGGGGAAAAGAAACTTGCAGGCAACTCGATCCAATTAATAAATGCTTAATTGAATTAGTGTCACCTCTGTCAGCCAATAGCAAAGTCCCCTAGCCGTGGGGCTGCGAAGCCCCTCCCTGGCGGCACGCATATAAGCAGCCAGCGACAGCTCGCAAGTTTCCAAGCGGTCAAATAGGCCTAAGGTTTAGCACCGCTGAGCCAGCAGCGAGGCGCAGGCTGGTTATACTAAATGGGAACTCAGAGCTGAATCCTCCCTCTTCCCTGCTGTGAGTGTAGGGGTCCTGAGAAGCTAGACAAGGAAGGACGGAAGGCAAGGGAGTTTCTGCTTGCTCGCTTTCCATCTCCCACCTGCAGCCCCGGGTTTGCTCCCTTGCGGAAAGGACGCTGGATTCGGGGCGCGCACGGAAGCCGCCCCGCAGGTCCGCAGGTGGGTAGCCCAGACGAGGGAGGAAGGGGACGTTACCTTCCCCTCGGAAGAGGGCGCTGGCTCCCCCAGCAGGCCTTTATAACCAGGCCGCGGGAGGCGAGGAGGCAGCCGGCTGCCGTCTGCGATTCGCAAAAGCATGCAGTTAGGAGAGCAGCTCCTGGTGAGCTCCGTGAACCTGCCGGGCGCGCACTTC